ATCAGCATATTGCCCCCAACAGTCTGGGTCCTCATTTTACTGAGCTCGGAAGGATGGAAGGCAGAGTCAACCTTGAGCCTGTGAGATTCGATCTGCCAAACTGCTGGCAACCGGTGATCAGCAAAAGTAGCCTGCAGTACTGTACTCTAACCACTGCGCCACTGAAGCTCTTATAATATTCATCTCTTAAAACATTACTTCAAAAATATTACAAAACATTTTTTTTTCAGGACTGCTTTTTAAAGATAATTATATTGTTGTTTTTCAAATAATACTGTTAGCAAAAATGTGCTGAAGTTACACAGAAGCTAGGAACATATTTATAGTTTACTTGTTTTAAGTGTAGAAGACAGAAGTGATCTTTCAAATCAATTTTTATTAAAATGGCTTCTCTTTCAGGAGATAGATTCAAATGGCTCAGAAATAAGGATGGTTGGCAGAGTTCTGAGTGAAATAATCTACCTTTAAAATACAGCATAAAATGCCTGTTTCAAAGACTAGATTCGATTTTTTAAAAAATACGTTTTGATTGACTGATTCATTATGTGCTGTCAAATTGGTGTTGACATAACTAAGCTTGTTCTAGGATGATGTCCTTAACCTTGCCATTAAAAGGTGCCATATTATTTTGCTATTAAAATGAGTAATCAATTTCTTTTAATGAAGACACTAAAATAATGTTATTGTTATAAATGATACATTCTGAAATCTGATATTCTTCTGATGTATTGCTACTACAGTAGTAAGAAATCTCAGTGCTATTAATATTGGAAAAACTGAAAGTCTTAGATGTAACACACTATAAGGTAAAGGTAAAGGTTCCCCTCGCACATATGTGCTAGTTGTTCCCGACTCTAGGGGGCGGTGCTTATCTCTGTTTCAAAGCTGAAGAGCCAGCGCTGTCTGAAGACGTCTCCGTGGTCATGTGGCTGGCATGACTAAACACCAAAGGTGCACAGAACGCTGTTACTTTCCCACCAAAAGTGGTCCCTATTTTTCTACTTGCATTTTTGCGTTCGAACTGCTAGGTTAGTAGAAGCTGGGACAAGTAACGGGAGCTCACCCCGTTACGCGGCACTAGGGATTTGAACCACTGAACTGCTGACCTTTTGATTGACAAGCTCAGCCCTTACACTATATTATGAATCAAAAATCTGTTAAAAGGGGGGGGGGCGGGTTAAGCAAAATAGGATGAAGATAGTACCAGTTAGTTTCCATGACTTCTCTGTTTTCTGAGTTACCTCTCTTTCAATGAGTGGAGCAAAATGGATTTTTGTGATTTACTCCTATTGTAATGCAAAGTACTTGTAGGTGGTTTACAGTAATCTCTAACAGCAACTAAAACCCCAGTTTTACAAAGGCCCTGTTCCTGGCAAAGTAAAATCTGCTAGAACTAGATATGTTGATCTTTTTCTTTCCCTTTCTCATACATATTTCCTTCACCAATGAAGAAAATGTAATTCCACTAAGGACATGGATTTAGTTTATTTCTTTTTTGGGCCAGGAGTTTTGCACAGTGTTATTACTGTAGCCAACAAAGTTAATGTTTGATTATTGCTAATTGAAAACTGACCCATGGAGGTAGACTTTTTCTCTAATATGTGTCCGGTGACCTTTGGAAGACTTTTGCATATGTAAAATAATGAAGGCAGGAAACAAACAAACAAACAAATAAGGCAGTCCTTCAGAATATCATTTAATGGACATCACTTAATCCCATTCTGTAACTTCTATGATCGAAGCTTCAAGTAGTGTGGGAGGTGCATCTCTAACTAGGTTGGGCTCAAATGGATAATATAAATATAAATATCAGTAATCATATATAACTAATTATTTTAAATCCTATAACTTTAGATTGAACAGCTTCAGAAATTTAAAATGTGAACTAATTTTATAGATAATGATGATGATTATGATGATGATTTGATCCTGAAACTTCAGTCCAAAGCTTATAATGATTATTTATTTATTTATTTATTTATTTATTTATTTATTTATTTATTTATTAAATTTTTATACTGCCCTTCTCCCGAAGGACTCAAGGCAGTGAACAGCCAGGATTAAAATACATACAATATGAAAATTAAAATAATTTTAAAAATAATTAAATCAAATTTGGCTTCCCCAATTTAAAACCCCTTACCCATAAAATTAACCAATTAAAAATTTTAAGCCAGCCCTTATTTCAGGCTTGCTGAAATAAGAGTCTTCAGCGCCCGGAGGAAAGTACGGAGGTCCGGGATCAGTCGTATCCCTGGGGGTAGCTCGTTCCAGAGGGCGGGTGCCCCCACAGAGAAGGCTCTCCCCCTGGGGGTCGTTAGTCCACATTGCTTGACCGACGGCACCCTGAGGAGACCATCTCTGTGGGAGCGTATTGGCCGGTGGGAGGTTATCGGTGGCAGATTTATCTCAATGCAGATAAAACCCATTTTTAATTCTTCTACATAATTCTGTTGATTTTAAAGGTTGACAATTACACAACCTTAATGCTTCTACATATATTTTAAAACTTGAAACACAATATGCTCTTTAAGATAAAATAATTCGATGTTTTTACCTGTTATCTGCTTAATTTAGTTTACATTGTGCGTAGAGATGTGTGAGTTGATTGTTTATAAATGATTGTGTGCATGTATGTGTTCTGTATTTTTGACAAGCAGGGGGTGGAGAAAGAAAGAAAGAGAAATCTTTGAAGCTTGGTATCATCAACACATTTTCACATCATTATTATAGATAAGAACACAATTAATAAATTCATTTAAAAGAGTTTTCTTTTCTTTCCATGACTTGGGTAATAACATTTCTTAAAAGTCATGGTCGTTTTCTTCCCAAATTTGTATTAACCGTTTTAAAAAAAATGTCACAAAATTATTAGCTCTGCTAAGTACCCAAAGCCAGGAAATTAACTCCAGAGGAAGGCTAAGAGTACTTTATTGAGACAGGGTATGGTATAGAATTTAGCTAGTTTAATTGTGCAATACCTCTTGTGCTTTCTTATAGATCAGTGATTGGGGAGGTATCTCTTGAGTCCCTTCCAAATTAATATTCCAATATTAATTAATATTGAATTGGAAGAGATGCAGTTAAAAATGTTTCAGTCCCTTTTACTTAAACAACAGCTTTTGCATATTTCCATCGTGGTCATTTTTTCTTACCCTCTCTAAATTAATTTGAACTATAGTAAACCAGGATTTAATAAAAATGGGGAAAGTTTTTACTGAAAATCCAAACTAAAGTCAGCTCTATCTCTGACCTGCAAATCTGACAACTGAAAATATTGTTGCTAGCTAATTTTTTTCAGGAAGACCTAAAGTAGAAGTATAGAAGTGGTACTACTTAATATATTATAAAACAATACAGTAGTATAAATAAAAGAAGAAATAAAAGAAATATTCTTCCCTGTAATGTTTGCTAAGTAGTTTTAGTCTTACCTCATATAGAGCAATGACTCCCATCTGCTGTACAGCAATTTTTCAAATATTTGTAGAGTACTATTACATATCCATTTAATATTTTTAAATACAAAGTAAACACATCTTTTGGAGATTCCTCATATGATTTGTTTGCTTACCAGCCTCTCTCACTCTTCTCTTGATGCACACTTTAACACACAAAACTGAACACAGCAGTTCAAGTGTAGCAATGCAACAAAGAACAAAGCTATTCTTTTCAATGGGAAGGACATAGTATATCAATTAATATAATATAGAATTATATTCAGTTTTTTGCAGCTACATCTCAATACAAGATTCATATTTAGTGTGTGATTCACTACAATATCTACTTTCTCTAGTATGATGAAAGAGATTTAAATCACTTGAATTGTCAGGATAAGTCAATGGTACCTTAACAATCCATGTCCGATCTCATGCAAAAGCGGAAATACTTCCAGTAAAGAAACAAGATAAATAATAGCAAAAGATAGATTATTTGTTTATGTATTTTCATTCATTATATTTATATGCTCATCTAAAATCACAAATGTGATTCAGGGCAACTAACATAAAAATTAAAAACAACATATAAAAATCACAAACCAAGATTCTAAAAAAATACTTCACAGCTGTTTCCCTTGGAAACAGACTCATCTAGTGTCTTGGCTCAGTGCTGAATAAAAAGTACAAAGCTTCAACTCCTTGGAAGAGGCCAGCAGGGTCAGCACCATCTGCTTCTCAACCGGTGCACTTTTCTATATGGCAGATGCCATGAGAGAGAAGGCACATCTTTTGGTGACATTGTTTAACAGAAGAGAGCCAGAGCATGCTCGCCCTGCTGAACCTTGTGGAATAGGCCACAGGTGGTCCCATTAATAACCCAGTCCTATGAAAGAGTATATAGATGATGATCAGTATATTATATTCTGCCCAGAAGCTTACCGAGAGCCAATACAGCTTATAAAGCAGTGGTGTTACATGGACTCATTGAGGTGCACCCATAACTACTTGCTCTACTGTAATCTGGACCATTTGCAACTTCCAATTGGTATTCAAGGAGACCATGTAAAGCAGAATGCAAATGGAGTACAAGTGGCACTCAAGATGCAAACAAAGGCCATCCTGGCCACAATTACCACATACTCTTCAAAATGGGAATGAGAGTCCTGGAGAACCTTCAAATTGTACACTAATTCTATTTGGGGAACTTAATTTCCCCTCTAGAACTAATGATGGAAAATTGCCATACTTGAGACACTGTAAACTCCACGGCCACTTGGTCATGTTAGAGTTGAGCCTAAGTCTGTTCTTCCCTGTCAGTCCTCCAGGGGCTCTTGACACTGAGAAAGAACATTGATAATACATTTGGCTGGCTAGGGATCAAGATTTATAGCTGACAATACCTTACCACCTGGCTTCAAGCAGATCTTCAATAGGAACAGAGAGAGAATAGAGTCTGGAGAAAACCTGTAAACTAGGGACTTTGGTCTAGACTTCTCCAGCTCCCCATTAACCAGACTACAACTGACCCTGGAAGGAAGAAGAAAATCATTGCAACACCGTGCATATGCTTCCAATCAGTCTAGAAATGTACTACAGTATGATTGATAATATCAAAGACTCCTGCAAGATCAAGAAGAGCCATGATGGATGTAGCGCCACCATTCCAATGCATTGGATATCATCTGCAACCATGATCAATGCCATATTCAAGACCTGAAACACAATAGAAAAAGGTCTAGATAATTTGCTTCTTCCAGGATCTTCCAAAACTACAGTGGGATGAAAATTGTCTAGTAGTGGGACATCTAGCGGTGGATTCTTAAATAGTGACAGAAACTATCTTCTTAAGTATAGGAGATACCAACACCTTCCCTCAAAGGTAAATTGACTACCCCCTGAACCCAACCACACATCATTTCCAGGGAACTTTGATCATTGAGGATTGATGTAGATATAATATATAGGTAGCTCCGAAATACTATCCAGTTGTTCAGGGCTAACTGGCTCAAACTCTTCCAGGATATGAGTTAATTCCTCTGTAAATTTCATAAGGCTAGACATTGCCTCAGAGCAGATCTGAGTGACTTAATCTTTAGGACACTTCAAGTAATTCTCACAACTGTTCTGTAAATATTCTTCTGATCACTCTTTCTCCCTTGGAAGCTCTAATCATCTTAGAACTTCCCACTATCTGTTTATGGATGAGATAAGCACATATGCTTCTCTTATCATCACAAGATAATCCTTAATGAAGGCTCTTATCCATTTACTAGGATCTGCTATTTCTCTTCTTCTGGGATGCTATCTGTGCCAGCAGCAGATTGAGCAACACCTATTCCTCTGAGTCTTACTGCCATCTGTAGGAGACAAAATAACAGCGTGGCCAGCTTTGTGATAGCCACAGAACTTAGGCTGCCCCTCCAGCATAGTTATAGATCCACTCCCACTGCTGCCACTCAATGTGGGATTCAGGTGCCTTGCATCTTGGAACACCAAGGTCAGGCATCTCACACAGTTGTCTTTGCTGTCCAATTGGCCCACTGACTTGTCTGGCTCTTAGTCCACTACCTTCCTTCTAAGTTACCTAGACAGTTGCTCTGAAAACTTTGCACCTTGTTATCTTCTTCAGTTGCCATGAAGCCCCCAAATATCTGATTGTGATTTGAGGTGCATCCATTGGCCCTCCAAACCTTTCTCGCTCTTCCATAATGTCCATAACATAATATCATCTTCAATATTATCATCAATCTTCTGTATCCCATCACTAATTTCCACCCAGCCTCACTGTCATTATAGGAAAAACATATATTAGTACTTGGCAGCAAAAACAATAATCTGCAGATGGTTAAAAGGTTTAATAAAATTACTGTAGCATAAACTTCTTATGCATTCATTGGTTCATCAGTTACTTTTCTTGTGATAATTCTTCTAAGTGTTTGGTGATTAGGTAGAGGATGAAATGCTGGTGCAAAAAAAAAGTTGCTAACTTTTAATGTTTGATTTAAAATGTAGGCAAAAATTTCCTTTACATTTTCCTTTACATTCCTTTATAGAAAAACAAGATAGTTTTAGGTTAAAGTTACAAATACCAGGATTCTAAATAACAATGAAGCAAATCTGCGATGTCCTCAAGTGTCTCAGAAATTTCAGATCACTAAAAAAGAAAAACAAGAAATCCAAGAAGAAGCCAGTATGGTTTCACAAAGATCTCACTGATAAACTGAAAGACAAAAAGGATAAGTACAAAAAATGGAAAGAGGGACACATAACTAATGCAGAATATCAGCAGATAGCCCAAATCTGCAAAGATGAAGTCAGGAAAGAAAGTTTCAGAATGAACAAAGACATGCAACAAAAGTCAAAGACAATAAAGAAAAAGTTTCTTTCAACATGTAAATAACAAGGAAACAGTCAAGGAAACAGTCGGTTCACTAAAGAGAGAAGATAGCAAAGAAGTAACAGGCAGTAGAGAGAAAGTAGAGCTTCTTAACTCATTCTTTGCATCAATCTTCACACAAAAAGAGACTTTGGAGACTTTGGAAAAAGTACAAAGAAGAGCAACTAAGGTGATTAAAGGCCTGGAGATTAAAACATGAAGAAAGGTTGCAGGATTTGGGTTTGGCTAGTCTAGAGAAAAGAAGGATGGGGGAGGGGGGGATGGATTGATATGATAGCAGTACTCCAGTAAATTTGAGAGGCTGCCACAAAGAGGAGGGGGTTTATTTATTTTCCAAAGCACCAGAGGGCATGACAAGAAACAATGGATGGAAATTAATCAAGGACAGAAGCAACCTGGAATTGAGGAGAAACTTCCTAACAGTGAGGACAATTAAACAGTGGAACAGCTTGCCTTCAAACTTTGTGGGTGCTTCATCATTGGAGGTTTTTAAGAAGAGACTGGAAATGGTATAGGATCTCCTGCTTGAGCAGGGGACTGGACTAGAAGACCTCCAAGGTCCCTTCCAGCTCTATTCTGATTCTGATTTTATATTACGGGGGAGGGGGGGAGACAAAATGTCAAAAAAAATCATCATTTGTACCAATATTGCTATATTTGATTTTATCTATGCTATATTTTAAAAAGCATTGTGCTTACAGTTATTGATTTATTTTTGTGTTTATTAAGCTAAGGGAATTTTCTAATAAATTAAAACAGGTTTTTAAAAAAACATAGATGGCATCTTAACTATTTAAAAATGTCAGTGTCAGCTGAAGCAAATACTGTATTTGCTGGAATTCAAAAGCTGGAATTCAAAAGTACAATAATTGATGAGAAATTGCCTGAATACAATGAATAAATGGTGATTTTCTATCTCCTTCTGCTGAGGAAATAGAGTTTCATGTTCATATGACAAAGCCATTCCTGGCTTTCTATCTGTTTCTAACCAGTGAACTTCAAAAAGAATATATTTCAACCAACTCTGTAGTTGATAGATCAATCTCAATAGTAATTTAATTACCATGGTAAATTTCATTTCTTCGAAGAGAAAAAAGAAAATCTGATTTCATTACTACAAGTTATATCTACAGTATGGTTGTGGTAGATTCCTTCCTAACTTATTTTAAATATAAATGAGAAAAAATTAAAACCTTAATAGAGGTACTCGGTGTAGTTGGTTGCACTGCCTAACTATCAGTTTGATAATACTCTTAGTTCAATAGAAACATGAACATGGTCTACAAAGTTTGGATGAATTTCATAGCAAAATAACACATTATATATTAACATTCAAATATTTCTCTCTCTCTCTCTCTCTAGATGATAGATAGATAGAAAGAAAGAAAAGAAAGAAAAGAAAAGAAAAGAAAAGAAAGAAAGAAAGAAAGAAAGAAAGAAAGAAAGAAAGAAAGAAAGAAAGAAAGAAAGAAAGAATTTATTTATTTTAGGGTTTAATCAGCATTATATTGTTTAGGAAAGCTCACCATACACCCTAGTAATAATAGATTATGGTTCTAATCACATATTACACTAAATCATAATATAGCTTGTTTTCCCAGATATTAATTTATAATACTTTATGGCAACTTTCCCCAACTTTGATGGTCTCCAAACATACAGATTTCAATTCCCAGATTTCTTAACAATGGCCATGCTGTCTACAGAATTCCAGGACTTAGTCCAAACATCTGGAGATTCCCAGGCTGGGGAAGCCTAGTTTATAGATTAACATTATTTGTGAGTCCACAATAAACCTTAGCTAAATCAGGCAATGATTAGAGTTTATTTGAACATGCTGTGATACTAATAAAAGCAATCTGGTAGTGCATTGGTTTGTTTTGAACAGCCATTAATTGTAGTTGGTTGCTCTTTATAGCCTTTAGTTATGGTTTCTATGAAAATAGTAAACATTAGTCCTTTTAGGAAGATAATGAAAGTGGGTTTTTTTTAAAAAAAAAAAAATCTGGTTTATAGGAGGTTATTAAGGGGAAAAACACCTTTAATTATTGTATGAAGACATGAAAAGGGTTAGGATCAAGAAACTAGACTATATGCTGCTTATTATTAATCTGATAAAAAATGATCTTCAGAAGATAGATATCAAGAAGGGCTAATGAAGAAAGTAGGATGCATTTTTCCTAACTATGGCTGTTTTGTGCTTTGGACAAAAGACAAATTTAGGATTTTTTTAAAAAAATAGATTGACTGCACTTGTCTTTGTTGCTTTCTTAGGATAGGAGCTCCTGTGTTTGAGATATTGATCATTATGATGCAGTACAGACCAGGCTGTGTTATTTATAATTGAATGGCTGTGTGTTTGTCTTGTTCTATATTTTGTGGAGATAAAGATTTATCTTTCAGGCTTCACTGCAATTTTCATGGCTTTTCCATCTCAAAATGGAGTGAGGGGGGGGAATGGCATCAAAATTATTGGACGTGGAACAAATTTGCAGAATCTGAATTCAGACTCATCATAGGTCTAATCCCTGGGGTGGACATAAAGATGATTATGGGACTCTGGGGCTTCAAGTTGTCTAGCTCTGATTTAAAATGAGGGATTAGACCAGAGTTCCCCAATGTTTCTGGCTTTGCGAACCAGGGGCGGGGGGAGAAGGGATCATTCCACAAGCTGCCAGCAACCATGCACATACACACACAGCTCCATTTGTGTGACCAGCCTGCTCACACAAATGGAGCATACGCTCACGCATTGCTCGCCCAAGTGAGGATGCATATGTGCACATGCGCACTGGCCATTTCTGTGACCCAGTTGCAATACTCTCACAGCCCACAGGTTGGGGACCCCTCAGTTAGATAACTGTCGCCAAGTAATATGATGGTTTCTTATAGACAATTGCACATTGTTTTCCAAATTTGCTATTCAGTATATGACCAGAATCCCCTCCCCACCTAAAAACATCTCCATCAATAACATACCCAGAGGTTGCAGCAGATGCTCCAGTACATCATCACAATGCAATGCTTCTGAATCCTTTTGACTTCTGTTGGGTGCCCAGCACTGAACCAATCACTTTGTCCAGTTTCCCAAGTCTTTACTGTGGGCTTTCTTCTTTAAAAATTCAACATTACCTCATGGTATTTTATTCAGCATTACCTGTAATTTTATTCACTAAGTGGCCGCAGTGACTTCAGCAAACTGATTCAATATGTGTTGGTTCAGTACTTCACAAGAATCACTTGATGTGTAGCTAGCTGCACATCAAAACATTGCTGTGTGTTCAGTTCACATAAAAGGAACATTTTGTGCAGGGCATACAATCAAGTCTACTGCAAATAATCAGGTAAACTGCTACTAATTCATTTTCACTTTGGAAATGAATAGTTTTTACATGTGGTGTATTCCTTCTTTTTATTAAGTGATAATACAGTTGCATGGCAAGGAGTCCTGGGAGTTTTGCAGGAATCTTTAGCAATAAGACCAGTTCATCAAGCAGTGGGAATTACTTGAGGAAATGTAGTGAACCCTGTATTGATAGGTGATTATAGACTAGGACTTCACAAAAAAATGTAATTTCTGCTATTACAGAATAGACCTGTTCCTCTAATGGAGATGAGATGCTTGTCCTCTTCCATTGCATTTCTGCTCTATGATCACTTACACAGCATGAAGAGGTAGGGACCGTAGAAACTCTACTTTGGATAATGAAGGAGCTTTGTTATCAATTCCCTCATCACTGAAGGCATGCATAAATGCTTGTATCATTGCATCCATACCTCACCACTTCTACAAAGCTTCCCTCTCTGAAACAGAATCCATGAGAAGGTGATTATGAAAGAAAGAGAGAAAGTAAAGGGAAGGGAAGGGAAGGGAAGGGAAGGGAGGAAGGAAGGAAGGAAAGAAAGAAAGGAAAAAGAAAGAAAGAAAGAAAGAAAGAAGAAAGAAAGAAAGAAAAAGAAGGAAGGAAGGAAGGAAGGAAGGAAGGAAAGAAAGAAAGAAAGAAAGAAAGAAAGAAAAGAAAAGAAAGAAAGAAAGAAAGAAAGAAAAGAAAGAAAGAAAGAAAGAAAGAAAGAAAGAAAGAAAGAAAGGAGACCAGGTACCTTCATGAACCCACAACCTTCCACCTGTTCTTACATATATAAAGGAATACAGTATGTACACTTTCCTAATAAGATGCTTTATTCTGTGTTTTATATGCACTGATTGATTTAAATAATAAAGTATTACTTCGGCAGCTTTTTTATTTTTATTTTTTAAGGAAACATGAGTTTTCATGATTTACAGATTTAAAATCTAGACTGATTCAGATTCATGTTAATTACTGAAAAAGGATATACTCCCAATGAAACCAGTGCTAAAATATGCATATACTGTAATGCCAGGAACAAGTCTTGGTGCAAATCTTTACAATGGGGGAAATCAGATCTCTTGTTAATGTAAAGATTGTTAAATTGTTTCCTTCCCTGTTGTTTTGGGGGTTTTTTTCCCCTCCAAAGGACTTGAAATTACTTAAGTCACTTACTTTTTATGTCTTTCTCTTATTCCTGACCTCACTGCGTGAATTTTCCTTCAGTCTCTCTCATTCATTATAAGCAGCAGGAGCCGGTGCTCAGTGAAGCTGCCAACTCCTGTAGCCTGACAACCAAAGGATGGGAAAGGCATGCCTGTATGACCTTTCAGGTCTAGGAGAGGGGAGATATATGGGATGTTTCAGTACAATTGTCCAGAAAGTAGGTCACCCCTGCTGACTCAACAGCCTGTTCTTTTCAGGAAAACCATCAATTAAGCAAATACGTGGTTGCTTGATGCACTACAAACCTGTCCTCAACGCTACCTTATGCAACCTTCCTGTACTGAAAAACAAGGACAGAAATTTGTCTCTCAAAACTCTATTCAGCTGTCACCATGATATCCTAGAGTCAGCTGGAAATGTTGGGAGTAAATATGGTTTAAATTGTTCTAGAGATGCACAACCACATCCCCATCCACCTTTCTTTCATGGTTATAAATGATGTTTTATCATTTTTATTCTTTGCATTCCAACAGAGCAGTGGAAGGAAATGATATAAAGAGGCATGAAATTCTGCCTGCCCATCCATCTTTCTGTCAGCAGGTTGGCTCTCCAAAAACAGGAGAAGCCAACAGAGGAAAAATTAGATTTAAAACAAAAAATCTTCCAGATCAGGCTGTGGAAATTCAGAAGAAAATTCCAGAAAAATCTCCCATTGTGTCCCTATGGGAGAGCAGCTAGACAGCCATCCAGAATGTTGCAGACTATTCTAATTTAAACAGACCCTCTTCCCTCCTAGACTTAAGTCCTAGACCTAGACTGTAGGATATGCAGCTTTTAAAAACATGCCATGCATAAATCATAACTTTTTTTTTCTTTTAGAAAAGAGATATTCCATTGTTCAGAAAGTTAAAATTATACTTTTGAGTTTGATCTACATGATGTAGAGGATTACTCTCAAAAGTGTCCTAAATTGGGAATAGATTGCTTAAAATCTGGACAGGATACAGCACTTTAAAAATTTAGCAGCATATGCCACATGGGAAAATGATATTGTTTTGACAAGTAAAACAATCCTGCCCTGTTATTTCTGGCCAGTGAATGTAGATTTTCAAAATTAAGAGCAGCAGGGAGTTTCCAGCCACTCAGTTTGGTAAAATCAAAATAAATCCTGAAGAACATTGTGATAATTGCAGATTAAACTCTCCATTGTAACTGATGTGAAGGATGGGCACAATTACTAGCTCTGGTTGCGTAGGAAGAAATCCGCCTATATTTGGCAGCTCCACACACAGTGACACAGTGGTCTGCTTACATATAGAAGAGAAGGGCTGGCATTTGAGGGAAAGACAAGGAACTATGTTTGCTGATGTTGCCACTGTCTTCCTGGCTGTCCCATTTCTTCATCAGATAAGACCAAATCACAATTACAATTTAACAATGTTTCCTTCATTTCTTCCTCAGAACAAGCTAATAGATGCTGTTGTCTTCACCATTTTTCCCCCTTTTCCTTTCCAATATTTTTTTATTTCCACTGTGGCAGCATCTTTTAATTTTTGCCCCTTGAAATTTGAATCCCCAGCTCTTTCAGGCTGCTTCACCTCCATAAACCCTTTCCTTTCCAACCAATTTCTTTTAGGTTCTCCCCATTATGCTTCAGCTCTCCCTTTGTACTTATGATATTTACAAACCTTCCCATCTTGTGTCTCATTCTGTATAGCGTTACTTTAGGCCCTCTTTCTTCCTGCTTCATGTCATCAGCTATTCCTTTTTTCCATCTCCACAACATTCTTGTTTTTCTATTTGCAACAGATATTCTGATGGCTTAATTGTGAATTATTGCAGTTATTATTAGAAAGTACTGAATGTCTCAGCCAGCAAGAAGAATTTTACAATTCACAAAAGCTTACATTTTTGATAAAATTAGTTACATAGAAATTTGTGATTCAATTTGTTATTGGGGGTTTTGGCCAATACAATTGTCCTCCACTTTTCTGAAATAAGCTGTCAGTGTAAGGTAAGATTCAGAAGAAATTACATTAGAGCTAAGTTAGAAAACACTGGAAGAAAAGGACGAGGAGAAAAGAAATTTGTTTTGAAAATGTGTTTATAACCAAACCATTTTAAGACAAAATCTTTTAATGCAAAGGCTTTACCTCTGAGCTATTCTTTAGCCAAGTCCTTTTAAATTTATCTTGTTTATGAAACACTAATGGGAAAAGCTGATATAGAAAATAAGAAAACTACCTTCAGCGATAGTCCAAAGGATTGCTTGTCCAGAGTTGAATAAAAAACTCTGTTTTCAGAGTTGAAAACAGATTTGATTGCTTTCAGCTCTCCATTTATAGGGGAAGTGTTAATAAATGCCTATTTTCCTTTTTGTATAATGTACCTATCCAGTGTCTCTTAGCCTCTATTTTCTTAGCTTCTACTTTATTTATTTTTTTAATCCTGTTTTTAGCCAATCTTTCAGCATGAAGTGAAAGGAGAAAAGAATAGATTCTGCTTTTGATCCTTGACAAGCTCTGTTGGATTGGATAAATCCTGTTGGATTGGACCACCATATAAGCCGCAGTATATAAATAAAAATAATACATAAATCAATAAAGTCTGAGAAACCAGCAATGTGTAACATATTTACTTGGAAGAAAGAATCATTGAAGGTAATGGGACTTACTCCTGAAGAGAGAGAGAGAGATGCCACTCTTTAATGACTACGTCAAACTAGCTCTCAGAATATATATTGCAGAATATACAGTATATTCCAAAGCAAAATTATTGTCAAAGCTCTTTTTGATGATAATAGGGGTGTGTATATGTGTGTGTTTGTGTATATATGGTTGTGTGTGTGTGTGTGTGTGTGTGTGTGTGTGTGTGTACTGTGTTTCTCCGAAAATAAGACCCTGTCTTATATTTTTTGAACCCTGAAATAAGCGCTTGGCCTTATTACCATGCATTCAAAAGCCAGATTGGGTTTATTATCAGGGGGTGTCTTATTTTGTGTGTGTATATGAGGGAAAGAGTAATGTGAATGAATGAATCAAAAACGGACTTTTGTTTTGGAGATTTTGAATTTGTGCTTGAAAGAAAGGTGGATGGATTTGAATTTTTCTTTATAAAAGTTGGGTCCATGTGGATCTTGATAATATAATAAATCTAAAATCATTGTACATTCATAATTCTGATTGGGCTCACAGATACGAAGCTTTCTAATATCACCATGATGCATAGATGAATCCAAAGAAAGTATTCCCAATACTTACCTTGATTTTTCTATGGGATCTAACCAAAACACCCACTGATCTGACACTTTTCAGGCATAAACCATGGATTCAAAGCACAGCTCCTCATCAATCTTCTTTATTTATGACATTATTTGAAAGCTTAGTTAAATTATATGCCACAATGAGCTGCATGGAATGAGCCTCAACAATCATACTGTAGATTCAGCTGTAAAAATAAAAAGGATCCATACTATTTGGCTTTTGTGTGTGAGAGAATAATCTTTGTGTCAGAGAATTTTATGTATTTGTCAGATTTGTACTTATTCGTTTACACCCCAAATAAAAGGATTACAACATCATAAAAAGAAAAAGAAATTAAAATGACAAAAATTGCAAATGGCAACTACTGGATGGCAACAAAGGATTATCCTGATTTGTTTGATTTATTTTCTTCCATATTATGGTTGTCAAGATTTTGATTGATATGCTTACCAAATATAGCCTTTCCATATTTAACCACTATATTAATATTATGTTAATATCACATTTATAAAAAGTATGCAAATTCAATAATGTAAAACTCAGTTAGGTTTAGAATACAGTTCATTCTAATTTCTACTATGCTTCAAAACCCAAAGAAACTGAAATGTAGTATTAAAACCATCCATTCTATTTAACATAAGATGTGATGACTTTATTCTGTCCTAAATATTATGATGAATTTAAGAGTCAGAGTTCCTGTGCCCAGTTTTTATTTAGGGCAATCTTTGATTGGGAATGAATGCATTCAGGCAATATTAATAGCATATTCATTCATAGAGTTTCCCTTAATAAAATTATGAACATATTATCTGTACAAGACATGTTTTCCCAAAATTCTGCTTACTCATGGTAATTATCCCAACAAAAATTCAACAGATCCACATCCAACTAAATTAAATAATAGAGTTAATATATGAGTGTGTGGAAAGGAAGTCAATTTAATTAACCTATATATTAACTATCAAAGAGAATTTAATTTCCCATAAAATATTAGTTTGTCCTTTCACACTTCCCTTAGTCAATGTGTCAGGAAAAAAATAATAAGCCGAAATCTTTTATGCAGATTTTGGATATTAAAGATAGAAATAGCAATAGCACTTAGATTTATATACTGCTTCACAGTACTTTACACTCAACATCGAACTGCTGGATGACACAAAAAAAATTTGTGTTGTTGTGTATATGTATATTGTTGCAACAAATGAATCTAACTCTCCGGAAAATGTTGTTAAATTGACAAAGATTGAATAATTGTTCTATATTTCTAAACTGGCTAAAGCATTCTGGCAAACAGTAGTGTTTAATAGATTTTAGAGGCAATTTCTGATTACATGGGCTCACATAATAACCCAAGTTATTATGAGTATCACAGTTTTAAAACTTCTGCCACATTTTCTTAGATGAGCATGCAGTTTCAGTTACTAAGCCAGACACCTAAAATTAAATAAACTGCCTGCTTTATTATCAAGTTATAAATTATGATTTGCAGAATAATTCTGGGTAACCAATAAATACAAAATGCCACCATTTCAGTTTGTGTTAATCATCTTCATATAGATTGTGGGTCCAGAAATTGCTTTTGTTCATTCATTTGGAAGTATAACACGTTTTTAGTTAATGACTATTCATTTTTATAGCAATGCCTATGGCAAAGATACCTGTAATGTCTGTTGTTTTGCAAAGATTCAGCATAATAATTTAAGGAAAACATCCTACTGTAATGGGTTTGAAACGCATCTCAAGTAGTTTTTCACTTAAGTATTCCATTTATTTTATTAATGTTAAATGAAATTGTAGAAAGCTATAATGTTGTCTGGCACTTGTCCCAAAAAACATAGTTCATTTCACTTCTCCAAATTGTCTCAGAGGGTTTTGGTCTTTCTGTCTTCCAGTAGCTACCTAACATTTTAGATAATCACTTTGCATATAGAAGTGACTATATTTCTCTGTTCCAGTATATTGAATTTTATTACATTCACCTAGTTAGTCATGTTCCTTCCAGATCCAGCTAATTATGTGCTAATCTAATGTAGTTGCAAATCATTTATATTACTAAGAAAGACTTTTGTAATATGAATACTCCATTGGCTTTGAGTTAGCCTATGATCAAGAATTTGCTTAATCCATAGTTTCACTTTGTTGTTGTTCTTAGTAATCAAACCTATTTACCTCATTCCACATTAATTATTTCTTGTAACTATTAATTTAAAGAGGAAATCCAACATTAAACGATGTACATATTATTTTCTAATTCAGAAACAACATAACACTTACATAATATGCCATATCAGCCCTCAATGGCCCTTTTAAACTCCGTGATTCTAAACTATTTATCAGGGAGATTCTTCAGATGGTGCATTTGAACTCTGCCGCAGAGTTGTTGGGTATATAGTCATTATAAAACTATAGTTATGGAGATGTAGCTCAGTGGAAAATGCATGCTGTGTGCAACAAGAGTAACCCAGGTTCAATCCTTTACATCTTTAATAACAGGTGGACAAAACTTCTGTGGAAAGTTTTGGAAAACTGCTATGAGGGTGGACTAAAGGCCTGCCTCAGTGTAAGGCAATTGATACCACACAATAACATCTGGTAGAGAAAAAACCAGAGATATGCATAGGATTCAGATGAATAAAAGTGAGAGGATTCAGAAGAGGTTATGGTCCTCCAATGCAAAATAGGATTAATTCTGATGTGATGAGAACTGACTCAAGTTCCATAAAGTAGCATTTTCTTTGCTTTTTTGTATATGGTGAATGCCAGAGTGACAGCCAGAAGAAAGAGAGAGGATATTATTGAACCATATGGAATTGCTTTCTAGGGTCAGTCAATTAATAATGAATTGGAAGATGGAAGTGAATCATTTCCAAGATCTTTTCAATTCTATCTGTCTTTCTGCCTTTGTTGAGAATAAATATCACGGTATTTTAGCAGTTTCAAGAATAGGGGAGATGGGCTGCTCCTGGTTCCTGCTCTTCCCTGATTTCTTCTGTGAAGTAACACCACAATTTGCATTGTTGTGTTGAAGACTTTTCCACTATTCTTTAAAGTGAATATTAATGGTGACAAACCATGTGATGACCCTATGGATAAAGAAGTTAAAACAGTATTTTTTGTTTTTGTTTTTGTAAAATCTGGTTATGAGGATAAAGCTGGACAATGAAAGTTTGAGTATCAAGTTGTGAAGCATTCTATTTTTGGATTGGATTGCCCTGTTTAAGATGCCATTTCATCAGCGTTCTCCTTGCATTAAATATGTAAATCATTCTAGCTGATATTTGAAAGCCAGACTAGCAATAAATACATATTTCTAAATGTGTAGTCTGCGGATGACTTATTCACTTCAGCTGTATATTAATGATTTAAATATATTTTCTACCTGTGGCATTTTGTAGACATCTGGGACATAGCAGATTGATAGTGCTTGAATTTTTTCCCCCCAGTTTCAGGGAGCAACCTTCTTCCTAAGATAGACTTCTGCCCTTTTCCTCAGCCAATGGCAACACAGGTAGTCATCTTTTGATAAAAGGAATAAGGAAATGCAGTACTTTCTCATGAGCCTTATCCTAATTAATATTATGCTAACTCAGTCTGCCAGCATTACATTCTTGCATAATAAATTGTGCTAAAGCTAATTTAATTACTGATGGATCTCAACAAAACCCTGGGCAATTTATATGTCCTGTCATTTTCATTATGATCCATATAAAGTATGCAATATTTCAAATGGGTCTTCTGCGACTTCCCCGTATTGCTAGTTTGGCCTAATCCAGCTAGACCTTTTATGAAGTGTTGAAAAACATACAAGTGCAGTTCATTTCATTTTAATAATTAGTTTAATATTCCTTTAAAATTTTTTAAAAAATACTCAATATTGTCAGTCAAGGTTGGCATGTCAAACCCAGGTTGAAGACAAACTGGGAAATCTTACTGTAGTAAGGGAGTGTGTGAGCAGGAGACAGGAATAATTCCAGTATGTAGGCTTTATTAATTTATATTTCCAGATAAATAATTAACTTATTTTCTCTCAAGTGTCCTTGGCCTATGACCACAATTGAGCCTGATATTAGAATCGTAAGTTGTACCAATTGTTAGGCAAGTCACCATGTGACCATACTACATTTTACAATTTTTTTTTGTGGTGGTTATTAAGTGAAGACCATAGTCTTTAAGGGAATCAGTGACTGCTGTGCACATTTTTTGATGGAAACCAAAAGTAAGTGTCAATTTCTGGGGGGGAGGGGAACCCTCATAAATTACTGCCATTTGACCATGGGGTTCTGTAAATGGCTGGTTGGGCTGGTTGCCAATCAACGTGGGCTGGTTGCCTAGTGCCCAAAATGGTATTATGTAATTGTGGAGATGGGGGAAAAGTGATGGAACTTCAAATCTGAGTGATAAGTAGTCCTAGGAAGGTCCGTCGTAACTTTGAATAATTGCTAAGCAACCTATAGTAAATCAAGGACTACCTGTATGTGGAGAGCTTATGGGGCATGACTTCCCAATTTACAATTTATGTCAGCCATGTTTCCATATTACTTGACTATTCGAAAAGATTTGAGGTTAGAAGCTTGTCAAATTTTGCATGCACAGGCCTATCATGTACTAGAATTACCTAATTGCATTTAGCAGATTTTCCCGATTTATTTCCGATAGGACTGGAGTAAGAAAACATCCTGTGTCTGAACAGGAATATTAAAGATTCTGAATATATGATTGGTTAGAAATAGGTCCTTCAGGATCATGGACAGATCCCAACAAGAATGCAGCTTTAAAAAAATACTTTAAATATTTGGTACTGTTCTTAACCCTCCACATCTTTCTAAAAAAATATAATGTTTTAAAAGATGTAGCATTTCACCAGAAACTGTGACTCATCCTCTCTTCATGATTTTGAGCCAGATGTAGATGATTGCACCCATATGAAACTATGTAGAGAGGCTGCAAACTCTAAACCCAGATTCACAAGGTCTATGCTTTTCCTGGCATCTTCAACTGTGTTTTTCACCTCTAATTATGTCCTGTGGATAGTGGACAATGAGATAATAAGAAAATTGTATCATAAAGATAGGTTGAGTGAATGAAATCTTTAATTTTAACTAAGGCCACCTACCCTGCACAGTGGGTTTGTGTACAAAGACAACTGAACATTAACAGATTTAATTACATAACCAACTAATTAAACTACTAAAGAAGGCCTTAGGCTGACAGAAGGCAATTTTGTAAGCAGAAATCTTAACATTACTTTCTCTTATTTCGGTGGATCCTTTTTTCTTGAAATTTTGTAAGCAAAATTACATGGTATCATGAGAAATATAATGAGGAATATTTTAGGTATCACATAAAATATTACCACTATATGAAAAAAAAAGTGTATGAAATTTTATCTGAAAAATTCTACATGAAAAACATGGTGTTGAACTCATGAAGAATCCTCATTTGAAAAAAAATAATCATGAAGTCTATCAAAGGGTGCATATTACTAGCATTTGATATTTTTACAAAGATTAAAAAATCACACAACTGACTAGAAAGACATTTGTATCAATGTTCCATTAAGCTATTTCTTTGCATTCAACTGTTTTTAAATTAAAAATGCCATAAAAGGTTTTGCATCTTGTTATATTTACTTAGTTTCTTTAGAAATGGTAACTTCCCCTTAAAACTATGGGCCTTGCTCAAGCATCTTGCCTAAATCTTTTAAAGGAAAATAGTCTGTTTCATGAGCCTAAATGTTTGGATAATAGGATATTTATAATGGCAATAATTACACTCCATAGTAAAATAAGTGGCAGCAGTCTCAATCTGCAAGCATGAAATTGAAAAAGGTACTGATTCTTTTATAGCTAGAATGTAAAAACAGACTAGATATCATCTTAGTTTGAAAAGTGTTATCCATTTAGGCAACAGTACTGCCAGAACATGATTCAATCATTTAAAGGTAAAGTAGTGAGGTAGACACAGTAACAGAGGAAAATAGAAACCTCTTCGTTTTAGCAATATTCCTCAATATTGACATTCAACATCAGTGTGGCATTACGGTGGCCATATTTGACATAATAACAGTTGCCCTTTCTTCACCATGCCTGTGATGGAAGAAAGGAGGTGGATTCCCATGAGGGAGGGAGTGCATTCCAGAGGAGTAAAAGACAGCTCAGTCCAGATATTATGTATGAGTGAAAGAGAGCGAAGGCAGCCCCTTCTTGATAGTTCTCTGAGTACATGCAGATATAGTGTGTTCAGTCTGGCAAGATTCTGTCCATTGGTTTGAAACAATAAATAACTCAGTTTGAAAGAATCATCATATGTCATTCTTGTTTTAGGCCTGACAATGCCCAATCCTAGAACATAGGGAATATATATGTTTTTAGTCCCCTTCCATGATCTTCATGATAAACATGAAAACATTTCTACATGAAGCTGTTCATGGGGAATGATGAAAATAGGGATTGTATGCTAAGCTAATGTCCCCCAATACCTCTTCAGCTCTGCTTATATACAATGCAAGCCCTTGGATAGAACTAGGAATTTTCTAGTCTTTTACCTCAAGGTGCACCATCCTCACTTAGCCAACATGGCCTTTGAACATTACCAGAAACCAAAAGAAGGCAGGACCAGCTCAAAAATGAAATGTAATTCAATCACATTTAAATACAATTAACGCCAGTTAAATTATTTAAATGTACAGCTTTTGAGTTAATATTACTTCACATGGTTTTAGTAACTCCTTCCCTTCCCCCTTCCTATGTGAAAGCTTATAATTCATTGTCAACTTTTGAGAGATTCTGCAAGGCAATACCTGAAGCAGGGTTTGGCATCTTCCCCCTAGCTTGCGATGACACTCATTCCTCCACTCAGTTAGCGGGCACGGATGGCATCACAGGAAAGATAATGATGTCACAATAGGGGGCTGCATCTTGAGTCATTTTTTTAAAAAAATAGATTTTTAAAGATGAGAATAGATTTGGGAATCTTGGAGGAGGATTGATACCTGGGGATATCTACTGCAGTTTCCATTTTTATTTTTGAAGAAGGAAAATGTGCAGTCAGTAATATTTTATAATGTACAATTAATTGCAAAAGCAATGAATTATAGGAAAAGAGTTGTAATATTTTATCAGTTGGTCATAAATGTTACTACTACCACATTTTACATTAGCAGTAGTACTGGTGTTAGAAGGTGTGGCAATGGCAATAGAAGTAGCAAAAGTTATTATGCTTATACAGATTTGATACTTTAGGACTGTTACTTTAAGCATACTTACTTGTGCCACAGTTCTTTTTAAACAAAATGGGTGATAGGATAGGAATAATAATTTTCCTTCCTCTTTCCCTGTTGCTGACTAGCTCCTTTTTATGCATCATTGAAATTTATTTATCTATGGTTACACAGCTGAAGAAACAAAATTACCTGTCAGTTCCAATGATCAAATTCTTTAAATCTTGGGTGATGGGGAAGCAAAGTGTTCTCTTGAGTTTGCAGAATATTACTAACTTTTACATTGTCTTGGGAGCTTGTCTTTATGCCTCCAACACTGGAGCTGAACTACTCTGCAGCTTGAAAATAAACTTTTCCCATCAGGCCACTTAAGTGTTTAAAATTTAAAAATATTACTTTAGTCTTTAGTATTTTCTCTAAAGTGGGGTGCAAAAAACTAAAAAACAAAATATACTTTTCAAAAAGGAAACTGCTAATACCATAGCATGAGTTCCTGTCCATAGAGGAGGTGAAAAATGTATTTTTCTAAGAATCCTGGTTGGATGTGTTCCATGACCTCTATTAAAAACCCTGTCAATTACTTTGGAGGCCTTTCCTATACAATTAAAGGGGCCCACCACTGACTGCTAATATTTTGCCCATATCCAAGATAGAGTATTTTATTGTAAGATGATGACAGCTGGCAGGGAACCAGAAAAAAGATGAATGTATGCTCTCCCTACTTCATGTTCTGTATTTTATTTTTTGTGTTATCCCTAGTTCACTCATAACCAAACTAAGCCTTGCAATATAATGCAAATGAACCTTGATCCTGAGATAGAGCAATGTGAATTGGAAGGAATACAATGCCTTTTCATTACATTTGCATAAAAATAAATATGTTACGAGGACCCAGCCTGTCTGCATTTTTCTTTTTTTAAAAAAAAATAATCTTTATTTACATTTCATTTAAAAAGAACAAACAAACATAAAATGACAGACCAAACAGTACAACAATAAATATACGTACTTCCATATAGTACCTTAGTGGACAAGTATTCAGTACTATAACTCTAAATTATATTCCGGAGAAGACAGAACATCTTATATTTCTTAGTGCATCACTTAGGTCTGTCCAACCACACTTATCTTATATAGTATAAATTTCTCTTTAAATACCAAACCTCAAATAATGTGGGTTATGGGTTTCTCTTATCTAACCATTTATAGAATTTGTCCCAAGCTAAACCTACTTGTGTTTGCTCTCTATCCTGTAATTTTTTAGTTAGCGTATCTGCTTCCGCACATTCCCAAAAAATTTTTATAATAGCCTCCTCTGTTGGGATATTTTGGTTCTTCCAAAATTGCGCATATGTCAGTCTCGCTGCTGTAATGATATGTAATGCCAAATACCATAGGTTCTTTTTTATATTTTCCGGCTTGGCTGTCTGCATTTTTCTATTAGGTTTTCTTTTTAATCAAATTCCTTAGCTTTGGAAACAAGTTAGAATGCAAAGTGCATGCTCATAAAAATGATCATTCAAAGTGCTAAAATTGTTTGCTACTTAAAAAATTTTCATACTAAATAAAGGGAGAAGAAAGTCTAGTTTAGTAAATATTTTCCAGGTCTGGACAGCAAATTGAATATTACTCTCCTGGTTGGCCCAGATCAACCACAATGTGCCTAGAGCTCAATTTTGGTCACATCAGGGGTGGGTTCTACTTACCATTACTACCGGTTCGGAAGCTTCTGCACATGTGCAGATCGGACCTTATGACGTCCGGGTGGGTGGGTGGAGCCTCCCACCACTTTTACTACCAGTTCTCAAGAACCAGACAGAACCGGGAGCAACCCACCACTGGGTCACATGGAGTAGATTTGGTGGTCTGTAATCAGGGCCGGATTTTCCTATAGGCTAACTAGGCTTCAGCCTAGGGCCTCAAGATCCAGAGGGGCCTACACAGTGGTGGGATTCTGGGGGTTCTAGGTGGCTCGGCCGAACCCTTTGTTAAATTGCTGGCTTGCCCCGCCCCTCCGCACCACTATTTATTGCCAATAAATAGTGGTGGGTGAGGGGCGGGGGAGCCAGCAATTTAACAAAGGGTTCGGTGTTTTTTTTGTAATTTTATTGGCCCACGGAGCTCCAGCATAGGCTAATTGGCCTCCCGGCTCTCAGCTGATTTGTCTCGCTGTTTTGCTTCCTTCCAAAGAGTGCTGATTTTTTTTCCCCTAGCTATACTGAGAAACGAAAGTGAAACTGCTTTGCTGTTGCTGCAAGGTTGGAAAATTAGGCAGGCAGAATTCTTTTCTTTTTCCTCACCAAAAAAGGTACGTGCAAACAATGGGAAATTTAGAGGAAAAGAGAAGAGTTCAGGATTTTAAAACACAAAAGAAAAAAAAGCTGTATTTAACTAGGGAATTGTAATAATTGAGATACTATTAATTGTATATTTCTGAAAGCAGAAATGGTTAAGTTGTGGTTTGGAGGAATATATGGGGGAAATTATTTGGTTTATTATTATTGGTAAATGTAATTAATGGATTTGTAAGAAATTGGATTGCATGGAAATAATTGGAATATTCATGTTCATATTGATTAATATACAAAAAAGGTAGTCATATAACTAATTGATTTATATTAAAATGTTGAATTTATATTAAACAACTAATATTACATAATTAACCAATGTGAGGATGGATATAAAAATAGAAGACAATGGGAAGGGGTATAATATAGAATAGAAGGGAAAAATTGAATTTGATTAAGATTAGAGATGAGGATGAGGGTAATATTGGTTTTTTACAAAAATAGATGAGGAATAAATATGGCAAAAAGGAAATATAGAAATTGTAAATTTAATTGAAATGACTAAACACTGTTTAAATTTGTGAACCGGCCAAATACTCTGTTCAAAGAAAATACATTGTATGTTTGTATGTGTGTTTCTAATTATTGTTATTTATTCATATTTGTTCTCTTTTATTCTTTAAAGTTTAACAATTCATTCTTTATCTTAATATCTTTATATTTGTTTGGGGTTGGCTTTCTTCCCTTTCATCTTTTTTATTGTACAGCAATCTTTCTCCTCAAACCTACCACCTCTCTTTTCTTTCCTTCTTACTTTCTCTTCCTCCCCCTCTTCTTCTCCTCCCTACTTCCTCTTCCTTTCTCCTTCTCCTCCTCTCTTCCTCCCTCTCTCTCCTACTCTAATTTCCCTTCCCTTCCTTCATCCCTCTCTATTGCTGTATCCTTTTATGCATATGGACTACTCAGAGGGCTGAAAAAGTTATTTCTGACTGGTCCTTGCACTTTTGACCAGTCCTCGAACTTATGACTGTCCTCACATTTTACGTTTTTGCCCTATCTTGTCACCATGGTGAAGAAAAGCAGTTGTGAAATGAGTGACATGGTTGTTAAGAAAGCTGCACGGGCATAAATGTGAGGATGGTCATAAGTGTGAGGACCGGTCAAAAGTGCGAGGCCCAGTCAGAAATGACCTTTTTCAGCCCTCTGGATAGTCCTTTTGTGCATATGGACTACTCAGAGAGCTGAAAAAGTTATTTCTGCCTGGTCCTCGCACTTTTGACCAGTCCTCGAACTTACGACTGTCCTCACATTTTACGTTTTTGCCCTATCTTGTCACCATGGTGAAGAGAAGCAGTTGTGAAATGAGTGACATGGTTGTTAAGAAAGCTGCACGGGCATAAATGTGAGGATGGTCATAAGTGTGAGGACTGGTCAAAAGTGCGAGGCCCAGTCAGAAATGACTTTTTTCAGCCCTCTGAAAAAAGTCTATGCACATAGCCACGCCCACCCGGTCACATGACGAGCTACCCACGCCTACACAGTCACGTGACCAGCTAGCCACGCCCACCCAGTCACATGATTACCAAGCCACACCCCCAACTAAGCCACGCCCACAGAACCTGTTGTTAAAAAATTGAATCCCACCACTGGTGAAAGGGCCTCATAAGTGGAATAGCCTAGGGCCTCTTTCAATCTAAATCTGGCCCTGTCTGTAATCAATTCTAATTGTGCTTTCTATTTGTCTGAATTAAATGTATAACTATAGGCTATGGCTTATAAAGTTTTTGGAATGGGTTCATACATTTTATTATACCAAAATTGAATCATCCATATTACAACTTTCTCATTCATGAGAATCTGGTATTTTTTCTGGATGAGTCGTTTTTTGCTATTACTCTGCCTGTAGTCTATAAGTGAGAGGCGGGGAGTTTGTGAGAGTTGGAAAACAATTAATTCACTCTGAAAGTTTTTAATGGAATACAAATGTTCATGATGTGCTTAGATTGTTTCAGCATTGTTAATAGACTAGGAGCAATATTTCTGCTTTACACCATTAATGAAACAATGTGGTTATATACTCTGGCATATTTGTAATATTCCTGATACTTGCACCTTGACAAAATATCATTTCCACTAGAGCACAGAATAGTTCATGCATAATATATAATTTGACGTTTTTAAAGATTATTTTAATTATATTACATTTCTTGGCACATTATGCATTTGCAGATTTGAAGAGAAAGCAATGTGCCTGTGTTTCAGTGTGTTCAACACTTGAGGTGTCATCACAGCAAGCTTTATATGTTCATAACTTAAAGGGAACTTCGCTAATTCTCTAAATG